CCTACAAGCAGTCCTCTCAGACAGTTTTTTTGGTCTTTCAGACCCCAACTTGACCTCCAATGTTCATGGGTACTGCCACTTCCTATTTACATTACAAACTGGGGAAAAAGCTACCCGAAAACACTTTGCTATCTTCTTGTAGCCTTCTCCTGCATTGTGGGCATCAATTATTTTAATTTTCTGAGTGCTAGGCAGCCGCTTAGAGAAGCCCATGGTCACTGATTGTTGGGAAAGGTTTGAGGATTGATAAAGCTTTGAAATTCGCATCACCTGGCCTTTCCTTACAATGATTGTCAACAAGTTATGGCCCTAACAAGCTAATTAATGTCTGAGACCTTGGAAAAAGTGAGAGCTTAAATCTCTTCGGGTGCTCAAACTTTTGCATGGTGCTCCTTTCCATTTTTCCCACTCCAATGTACAAAACAAAAATAATACAGTAATCTTGCTAAAAGATTGATTTTTTTTTTTTAATTTATGTCTTGTGGGGATCAGTTCATCTTCTACTCACTTAACTATTGACAGTAACAGAATTTTTCTCAGTTTTGTCAATCTGCAAGCAGTAAACCTCAGTAATTAAGGTGTGATTTAGCACCTGATTGGAACTACTGTAAAAAAATCAGCATTAAAACTACTAGAAGTATAGCTTTAAAGTCAGGCATGGTTACATTCAATTTAAATTTTTGCTTGAATTATTTAATGAAAATCCATGACATGACTGGACAGGCTCTATCTGAGTTGCCATGGAATGGTCCTGTTCTATAGCTTTATGTAGGTCTATTTTTTAGCACTGGAATCATTTGCAAAAGAAAGATCTGTTGTTTCTCTTCTCATGTCTCACTGATGTTTGGTTTGTTTGATATTAGACCAGAAGAAATACCAGAAAGTTAACACAGCAGAGAAAAATTTCATTGATCTTTGTAGGGATTAAGACTCATCAGAGTGGTCTGACTCATCTTTATCCACTATATCATCCTCCTCTACATCAACCTCAAGTTTCTCTGATGAGCGGAGAAAGAAAGGAAAGAAATACAAGTGCTGCCACAAGAAAAAGCTCAAGAGAAAAAAGAAAAGAAAAAGAAGGAAAGATGCAGTTTAGACAGAGAGGTAAATGAAACCACAACAGATTAATCCATATATATATATATATATATATATATATATATATATATATATATATATAAATATTTTACTTACTGTAAAACAGAGGTGTTTGTAAATCTGAGTGGAGTCTTAAGTCTTTGGGATTTATGTCTATGAGTTGAGCTTTGAGTCAAAAGTAAAATCCTACTAAAAACCTGACAAAAATAATGGACCTTCCATTACACAAAAACATTACAATGTTTAAAAAAGAAAGACAACACAACTTGCAACGGTTGGTTAGTCTGCAGTTTATATGATATGTAAGCTTGTAAACATCTCTGTTATGTCTGTTTTTTTTTTTTTAACAAAAGACTCATTATTTGAAGCTGTGTCAAACAAGACAATACTGTGAGGTGCAGGAGAACAACACTGAAGTAATGTCTGCCCAAGACTGTATCAGTTAGCAAAACTGAAAGGCAAAGACTAGATTAGATTTGAAATATTGTATTCATTTACTGCATTAAGGTTAGCAGTCCAATCAGTTTCAGTTCTCTGGCAGAACACTCACAAGTCATAAGTCTTGAGTTTTAAATCAGTCAGGAGTCGCTGACTAGAGTCCTTCTGTATAAAATGAAATAAGATTAAGGAACTGATGGAAGATTAAGGGAATATTTCATTTGATTTGTTTGTAATGTTTTTATTCATGTTTTTTTATTTTATTTTTTTTACATGTATTGTGTTTTTGTAGCAGAAAATCCTCAGCAGGCTGTAACAAGATACAGAAAGATTTTACAGCAGTACAGGAGGAGGAGAAATCTTCATGCTGCCTACAAGGCCTTTGGTGTAGATAGAAACACTGTAGTGGCCAATGCTCCACTTGCTATTGTGGCACCTCAAGAGTACAGTAAGCTGTTGGAGGGTTACTCGCGACAAGAGAAATTGCAGGTGTTTGCAAAGAAGTGCATGGATATTTTAAACAATGATGTGCAGTTGTTGACCACTGTGGAATTGTACAAAAAGAAAAACAAACTTTACCTTTAATGGAAAGAAAATAAGAAGGTTCTTTTTTATTTGCTTCAACTGCCAACGCTCTTGAATTAGGAGTTTGAAGTTGTGCATAATAGAAAGAGTCAAATGAGCACTTTTTAGAGAATATTTGCTTTGGTAAGAACCCTCTGTATTGGTTTAATTTTTTTTTGCAAAGAGAAGGTAAAAATGTTTGCTACTGTGTTTGTTACAGAGTAAAGAAACTACAACATGATTATTCAGTTGCTTTTTTTGGTTTATTCAATAAAGTTGTAATAACTCTGTTATCTTCTTTTGAGGTTTCTCAGTAATTTTAATGTCATAAAGTCAAAACGCAGGTAAAAAAAAATCCAGTTTATGCTTAATAGTTACATTGAGTTAATGTCTATCCATTGTTTTTTGTTTCCACTTTAGATTAGGGACTGCAAAATGTTTTATAAATGTTGACTGATTAATGTATAAATGACTTAACAAAAAGACTTTAGTTTGTAAATGACTTACAGGCATTTTTAGATATTCATATATATGGAATAGTGTCCACTTTAGATTAGGGGCTGCAAAAATGTTGCAAATAATTTATATGTAATAAACAGGTCATTTATAAAACATGAGTAAGAAAGTCACTACTGTTTGTTAATGTTTAACAAATCATTTGTAGGCCCAAAAAATGTTAATGGATCTTACTGTGGTTAATAAAGGGTACATTGCATTAACATCTTCTATTTGTGAAGATTGTATTTTTTTCATTTAATTCTTTTTTTATTTTTTTTTTTGTAAATGTACATGCAGTACATTCACTAAAAGTGAATAACATCCTGATTTGTCCATCATTAGTTATGAAACAGTAGCATATATTTACATTACATTTATTGCATATAGCAAAAACACTTACGGAGAGAAAAGTGCTTTCTTGTCCACTCAGAAAATATAGTCCAAAGATAGCCTTGAGCCAAGATACTACCAGAAACAAAAGTCAGTGTTGATTCTTAGTTATGGAGACACACAGTACAGGGGTGAGATTTTGCATAAGCACTAGATTACAGTTAATTTAAATGCTTCACAGAGAGATGGATCTTCATCCCATTTGAAGACAGTGAGGGATTCTGCTGTTCAGTGGAAGTTTGTTCCACCACATGGGCTCCAATGGAAGAGTCTTGATGTTTGTCTTTCATATGTCTTGGTCAAGCTGGGCTGTACTTGAAGCTTAAATTGCTCTAGGTCATCAGGTAGGAAGGAGCTGGTCCATTTTTTGGCTTTGTAGGCAGTTTAAATCTGATGTGAACAGTTACTGGACCCCAGTGAAAAGAACGCAGCAGGGGTGTGATGTAAGTAAACTGTTCGATCACTTGTAAGGGCCTGACTGTAATCAAGCCTTGAGATTACAAGGCACTGGACAAGCACTTTGGTGACCTTGCTGGAGAGAAAGGATCAAATCGTCCAGATGCTGTAGTGGAGAAGCTTGCATGACAAGTTTGCAGTGACAGTAAACAGTCATCAACAACACCAGGTCTTCATACATATGCAGACAGAGAATAAGGAGTTCTCCAGGGAGGTGTGATAACAGTTCTACATATTATTATATATGGGCCATTATAAAACCCTGATATCTTGTAAAGAAGACACATTGTAGACTGTAGTGCTCAAATGCCACCACTGCCATTAATGTGTGAAACAGTGAAGAACAACTCTTAAGAACTTGATTAGTTCATGATTAATAAATCATAAAGTAGAAGTTTATAGATGTTTAATTTTGAGAGGCTAAAGAACACCTAAACTTTAAAGTTTGTAAATTATGCTACTATGAATTTTTATTATAGTATGTACATAATTGATGAACAACTACTGAATTCCTCATCTATTCATCATTTGTTAATCATGAAGAGCTTATGTGTCTTTAAGTGTTGTTAATATATTAATTAATGATTTATAGCTCTAAATATATAATTAGTTCACGATTAGTTAATTATGAATTAAACGCTTATAAATGTTTTATAAATGAACGTTATTAAAAAACTATTAAAAAAAACAATTAAGTATTCAGACCTTAGCTACTGTAACATTAGCACAGAAGACTCTGACAACATGGCGCATATGCAAATGCTCTTTTATTCTTAAGCAGGCACTTCAACAGCCACAGAAAATGCAAAAGAAATGCCCAGCCCAGAGCCACCCCAACACAAAATATGGAGAACACACTTAAATATGGATTTTAAAATAAAACGCATATAAAATCCATACAAAATATAAAACGTGCCATAAATATTGCACAGGCCATATTTTATGTTTTATTTTTTGTTAAGTATGTTAAATTCAGTATATAAACAGTAATTGTACATTAAAATTTGCAGCAGTGTGGTCTCTGTAGAGGATGTGTTAATTTATTCACACTTAGAAAATAAACTGCAACATGGAACTTGGCCAGGGGTGCACAAACTTTTACATACCACTGTATAATTTGGTTTGTTTTGCATTATGTTGGTATGTCTTTATTGTTACTGTTAGCATGCCTGTTTCACCTCTTGTATAAATAAATAAAAAAATTGAATTTAATGAAATATAAATGATATTAATGCTGAGATCTCCATATAATAGCAAATTTAATTGATAAATCCAACTTTAATTCCTGAGTAAAACTGCAACAGTAATATAAAGTTTTTATATTTATTATTTATATATTAGATTTATATTCCTATTTTTCTAGTTTTCTATGAATCTATTAATGTGAGCCTGAATTTGATGGAAAGTGTGAATTCTTTATTAAAACTCTTTTAGTCCTGATCTTAATCTGCACTTTAGAGACTGAAATGGGTTTTTTACTGAGCTGGAATATCTCTGGAATAACTCCAGAGAAGACAGTGTCCTGGTTCAGGAGTTATTTACTGTAGCACTTCCTGAATGTAACCTGAGAGTACAATAGAGCAGCAGTGCTGTAGGAGAAGACGGAGAAAGAGAGAGAGAGAGAGAGAGAAATTACACAGCAACAGGGACTTTATTACACATGGTAAGTTTATAATAAACACATATATACAAGACTGATGTGTAGATTAAAGAAAGAACGTGTATGTGGGTGTTTCACAGTTAAGAACTAAACTGAGGATGTCCAGCAGAGACACTTCTAGATCAGGGAACACGTCTGTGTTCTGTAAGACCTGAATTTAAAGCAACAAATCTTTTCTACACACCTGACCCAGCCAGCGTGGTGGTTAATTAGTTTATTAGTTGAGTCAGGTGAGCGTGATAAGACAAAGCACAAAACTTTGAGTATATTATTCAGTTGAGATTCATAAACAACAGCTTCACCTTACTCAAAGCATTGATTTTATATGTAACATTTTACTGTTTGAAATAGTGAAATGGCAAAATCTTTCAGGATTGCCATTCAGTTATAATTGCTACTTTATAAAATTCCATTAAATAATAATTAAGTCAAACTGTTTTTGACAAACTCCACTATATTACTGAAGAACACCTGCTCAGGTACTCATGACTCACACACATATAGGTATAGAGATATAGAATAATGGAATTTTCTCCTTTTAGAAGATTTTGATGCTCTGTTGCCATCCTAGTGGTGATGAACTCACTTTACCTCAAATTCCTACAGTAAAATGCATGAAAAGCATGATTATCTGAAAAGGTGTTCTACTAGAATATAGTGAAGTTCACTGAAAACAATTTCTTTCTGTTTTTACAAAGAGGAAAACAGTGAATTTTCTGTCACATATACAGATGGGTGACAAATTACAGGACAATCCTGAATAAGTGAGAAGGTTTCAGGTCCTTCCAGATATGTGATATCAATAGACTTCACATCCGTTTATATTAACATATTTTTATATTTTATCCTGAGAAATGGTTCATTTGATTGACTTTAAGTACATTAATGTTTTATTTGGGTTTCTTAAGTAGGAATTTGTAAACAAAATGTTGATTAAAGCACAGACAGTAAAATACATGTTCATGTGCAGTAGCGCTGTTCAGCCAGCAGAGGGAGGACGTGGACTGCAGTAATTTGGACTTATTACAGAAAGAGTTTGTGCAGAAAACATTTTCACAATTTCAGGATGAAAGTAAAGATTTAAAGATCAGAGATTTTGTATTAAACCTGGCATTAGACTGTCAAAATCATACTTTACATTTTCTTATTATTCAAAGTTAAAAATGTTAAATGTTGATAGCTTTTCATCTTAAAAGTACAGTTTAAAAATGTAAAGTGTGCTACAGAAGTGCTTTTCAGTTGCAGCGTGTGTTACTCCATAGAAACAATGAAAAGAACTTGATAGAGTGTAAAATGTCTCCCACGTCTTCCACCTCTGGGCATTTGTCCCTCTTTAAAATATAAACATGCCCATTAATGCTTAACTGTAACAATAACATGTTCAGAACCAGTCTATAAACCCAAATCCATGAAAACATGAAATATCCAGTATAGAAGAGAACAACATTTACAAGTTTGAAAGTTTCTGTTTTTACAAATGAACTGAATAACTATAGCAATATATGCTCACCAATCACTTTATTAGGAACATTTTATTAATACTGGGTAGGGCCTCCCTTTGCTCTTAGAACAGTCTCAATTCTTTGTAGCATGGATCTACAAGATGATGGAAACTTTTTAGATTCTGGTCCATGTTGACATGATTGCATCATGCATTTCGAATTTTTGAGGTGCACTTCCAAGCAGTGAATCATCCTTTTCTACCACATCACTGAAGGACACTGAAGAACAATAAACACATTGTCATGTTTGAAACGGGGGCCGGTCACTACCAGGGAGGTGCACCGCTGGTCTGACCAATCAGACGCTATGCTGCAGGATTGTTTTGATCATGTGGACTGGGAAATGTTCCGTGATTCGTCGGGCAGCGTGGACGAGTACGCAGACACAGTCACCGCCTTCATACGCAAGTGTGTTGATGACGTAGTGCCCTGCAGACAAGTCCGCGTTTACCCCAATCAGAAGCCCTGGCTGAACTGTGAGGTTCGCTCCGCCCTCAGCGCACGCAGCGCTGCATTCAGAGCGGGAAATACGGAGTACAAGCAATCCAACTACGCTCGCCGTAAATCCATCAGAGCAGCTAAACGTGCGTACAGAATGAAAGTGGAAGCACAGTTCAACACAGCCAACACACGAAGCTTATGGCAGGGGTTAAATACAATCTCTGACTATAAAACTGCCTCTCGCACTCTGCCCAGTACCAGCGCTGATCTGCCGGACGAGCTTAATAACTTCTACGCTCGCTTCGACGGAATTCCCGCAGCACCACTGGAGAGCGCCCCGCCCACCGCTGATCCCAACGCCCCCTCCGTCTCCGTAGCTGATGTGTGCAAAGCCTTCAAGAGGGTGAACCCACGCAAGTCAGCAGGACCAGATGGCATTCCCGGGAGAGTGCTTAAAGCCTGCTACAGGGAACTAGCAGGAGTTTTTGCAGACATCTATAACACCTCACTGTCTCTCTCGGTCGTGCCAGCTAGTTTCAAACTAGCCACCATTGTGCCAGTTCCAAAGACAGCTAGTATTACCTGTCTGAACGACTGGCGACCTGTTGCCCTGACCTCCATCGTAAGCAAATGCTTTGAGAGGCTGGTCAGAGATATCATCTGTTCCTCACTGCCTGCCACCCTGGACCCACTGCAATTTGCATATAGGCGGAATAGATCCACCGACGATGCAATCGCCCTGACCCTGCACACTGCCCTCTCCCACCTGGAAAAGAAGGACACGTATGTGAGAATGCTGTTTGTAGACTACAGTTCAGCATTCAACACAATCGTTCCTTCGAGGCTCGACTGCAAGCTCCGGGATCTGGGTCTGAACAGCACACTGTGCAGCTGGATCCTGAACTTCCTGACGGACCGACGGCAGGTGGTAAGGATGGGAAGTATCACATCCTCCTCTTTGACCCTCAACATCGGAGCCCCCCAGGGTTGTGTGCTCAGCCCGCTCCTGTACTCCCTGTACACCCATGACTGCACTGCTAGACACAGCTCCAACGTCATCATAAAGTTTGCTGACGACACAACAGTTGTGGGCCTGATCTCCAACAACGATGAATCGGCCTACAGAGAGGAGGTTAAAATCCTGGAAAACTGGTGCCAGGAGAATAACCTCTCTCTAAACATCAGTAAGACCAAGGAGCTGATCGTGGACTTCAGGAAGCAGGAGACAGTACACCCATCGATTTCCATCAATGGGACTGCGGTAGAGAGGGTCAGCAGCTTTAAGTTTCTCGGTGTTCACATCAGCGAGGACCTGACATGGGCAGTGCACACCTCACAGGTGGTGAAGAAGGCCCACCAGCGCCTCTACTTCCTCAGAAGGCTGAGGAGGTTTGGCCTGAACCCCAGCATTCTTAAGACCTTCTACACCTGCACTGTGGAAAGCATCCTGACGGGCAGCATCACCACCTGGTACGGGAACTGTACTGTTCGTGAGAGGAAATCTCTGCAGAGGGTGGTGCGGACAGCACAGTCCATCACCGGGGTTCAGCTCCCTAACCTATTGGATTTATACACCAGTCGCTGCCTGAGGAAATCCAGAAGGATTATGAAGGACCCCTCCCATCCTAGTCACTGTCTGTTCTCTCAGCTGCCGAGTGGTAGGAGGCTCAGAAGCTTAAAAGCCAGAACCAGTCGGCTCAAAGACAGCTTCTTCCCCCATGCAACCAGGCTATTGAACAGCCAGTAATCACTGCTCTGCCCAGCCCAACCCTTCCCATTACACGTACGTGCACCCACTGTACTCCCGCACTTTACTTGCATAGCTGGACTTTGAATACTTATCCAAAGACAATACTCTCCCCCTGCGCTTCCACTTAACTTCCTGTACCTTGCACTTTACTAAATACTCTGCCACCTACTGTACCATCTTCTACCTCCACACCTAGTGTGATTATTTGCACATCTACATAGCATTGTAATATCCATTACTATATATAGTATATAGTTGATTACACTCACTCTACATTCCCAGTGCAATATTATATGTCTCGGTGCAATATTATTATTTTTAAGTTATTGTGTAAGATTATATGTATATATTTTAGTTAAATTGGTTTTATCTATTCTTCTATCCTATCTATAGTTTTGTTTATCTATGTGTAAATACTGTTCTCTGCATAATTTGTGGAACTCGCACTCAAGTTTTTCACTCACCTGTGTCCCTGTACTCTTGTGATGTGACAATAAATCTGATTTGATTTGATTTGTTTATAAAATCAGCTGGAGACGACTTTTGCTGTGTGACATAAATTGTGGCCACAAGGGGATGCACATAGTCAGTAACAATACTCAAATAGGCAGTGGCATTCGAGTGATGATTGATTGGTATTAATGGGCTCAAAGTGTGCCAAGAAAACATCCCCCACCCCATTACACCACCTCCACCAGCCTGGACTGCTGACACAAGGCAGGTTGGGTCCATGGATTCATGCTGTTGCTGCCAAATTCTGACCCCACCATCATCCTCAGCAGAAATCAACATCCATCAGCCCAGGATATGTTTCTCTAGTTTTCACCTGTCCAGTTTTGATGAGCCTATGTCCACTGCAGCCCCAGCTTTCCATTCTTGGCTGACAGAAGTGAAACCTGACATGGTCTTCTGTTGTTGTAGCCCATCCACCTCAACGTTCAATGTGTTGTGCATTCTGAGACGCCTTTCTGCTCAGCGCAATCGTGCAGAGTGGTTATCTGAGATACAGTAGCCTTTCTGTCATTTGGAACCAGCCTGACCATTCTTCACTGACCTCTCTCATCAACAAGGCATTTCTGTCTGCAGAACTACCGCTCACTGGATGTGTGTCATAACACAGGCTTCAGAGGCAGTGGGCACTATGCATGATGAGTGCAATGCTTCATGTGCTTTCCTTCTTACCCTGACGCACTCATCATTCTAGAATAGGGTCAGTCTGGACTCATCAAACCACATGACCTTTTTCCATTGCTCTAGTCTTTATGCTTCCTTGCAATTTTTTTTTTCTGATTAATCTCACTAACAAGTGGTTTCCTTATGGTTAGCTGTTTAGTCCCAATCCTGTGAGGTCTTGTTACATTGTGTGTAAAAATGCTTGTACTTTCACTATTAAATATTAAGTATAGCCATAGCCATTTGTAGATTACTACTGTAGATTTTTTTATGAATCGACTTCATCAAGCGTTTAAGTGATCTCTGATCACCGTCATTCACGGTGACTTTCCGACCACATTTCTTCCACAAAGTTGACTTTTCACTACTATACTTCCAGGTTTTAATAATGCATTGGACAGTTCTTCACCCAATTCCAGTAATTTCAGCAATCTGCTTAGGTGTTTTCTTTAATTGATACAGGCCAATAATTTGACCTTTGACCTGACACAGTAACATCTTTCCATGACCATGGGTATGTCTTCTGATGTGACTGTTTAAGAGACGAGAAGCTACTTACTGCATAAATTAGGGTTAAAGTTGCCAGCTAAAACATATTGATCACTACAGTAATTATACAATCAAAGGCTTTTAGGTACTTGCTTATTTAAATCCAAATGGCAACTTTTTTTGGCCAGGAACTGTATAATATTATCTTAACTGGGAGAGAGAATGTTCAGTGTGATGCTTGCTCTACCATTTAAGAAACCCCGTTGTGCTGAGATGCTTTTGAGAAACCAACTCAGTTCAGTCATTCTGTAAGCAGTTAAACTCAATATTTAAGATGTGATTCAAGACCTAGTAACCAATAAAGCTGATCTAACTGAGCTAAAAAGTTTGCTTGTTTTCAGAAATTAAATAAAGGATTTTGCTAGATTTTAGGTGAGTTGGTATAGAATTATGCATTCCAAAATTGCAGGGAAATCCATCCCTTCAATCCTTGAATCCATGTAACTGGATAGATAAATCTGAAGTCTGAATACAGATGTGTGTGATTTCAGTGTTTTCTCCTCACTGTGTGAACAGAACTCAACTCTGAATATGACCCTTAATACATAACCACTCTTACTACATGTTCACTTAAAATGTTGTAATTTTATTTGTAGTTTAATTTATTTATTTTGAAGTATGCTTGATGCTGCAATGACAGCAAACTCATGATCTTACAGTGAGTGTGTTCAACATCCTGTGTATATTTTGTGTGTCTGAATAGATCTCAGGGAGAAATCCAGAGTAACAGCTCCATGATGGGTGTTCATCACTCCAGCAGAGGAGGAGGAACCTCTGACTCAAAGTAAGTAAACTTTTTAGAAGTGAGCACTTCTTATAAAAAAAGAACAAATGAAAAATACTACTTAAAAAAATCTCAGTTGTGTTCAGAATAAGTGAGGTTTAGTAAATAGAGCAGTGATTCAACTCTATACTCTGATCATGCTGTCAGGTTAAAGTGTATAGGATCTCAAGAACCCAGCTGTGTGTCTATGAAGAGTGACCGGTCCCTACCTGAGCCTCCTAAATTCAGCAGAGGAGGAGGAGAACCCAGCTGTGTGTCTTTCAAGAGTGACCGGTCCCTACCTGAGCCTCCTAAATTCAGCAGAGGAGGAGGAGAACCCAGCTCTGTGTCTATGAAGAGTGACCAGTCCCTACCTGAGCCTCGTAAATTCAGCAGTGGAGGAGGAGAATCCAGCCGTGTGTATATGAAGAGTGACTGGTCCCTATCTGTACTCTCTGACCCAGAGTGAGTTATTGTCCCTCACTGTAGTCTCTCAGAAAGAGGTTTTGCACATGACTTGTCCATTTAGCTTTAATGGAGAAAGTAGATCTGGACAGCACAGTAAAAATGGCAGCAGTATTTGTTAATTTTCACACTGTGCTGAAATGGAAACATGCAGCCATTGACTTTAGGCTGCTTCTTGTTGTCCTGTTACTGTAGAATATCAAAAAAACATTGAATGGTTTTTAGTTTGTTGTTAAAAACATGTTTGTTTGAGTTCCATAGTCAAACATGTTTTTATTGAGAACCTACCATAACTCTGAACAGTGAACAGTTTAGAATAGAGTGCACACACTTCCAGTTCTTCCATGACTGTGACTTTAAATCTCAGCAGTGGAGAAGCACAGTCCAGCATTGTGTGTGATGATCACATTTATCAATAATCTGTAGAATTTTTAGAACGTAAATAAAACATACAGTCATAATTTGATTGTAAAATGAACACAATCAAATTTTACTGATAGCTTTACAATCTACAGTCAAGCTCACATCTGGTAGAAGTGTGTAAATTTCAGCATAATAGTTTAATAACCTGAAACATACTTGATTTGCAGTGAACTAACCAGGACTATTAGAAATGACATCTATAATACCAAAAATAAGAATAAGAATAGAAAATAACAGTAATACATTAATATGCATTGCAATTCAGTACAAAAGTGGATGCACTTATTTTACAAGCACATTCGTATAAGCAAATGCTGCAACTATTCCATGTTCCATTTAAAGACATATTGCACTTTTGCTTTATACAACTGTCTTTGCCCACAAAATAAACAGCAACAGCTAATGCAGAAGCTTCCCATGCACTGCAGTAATACAGCATTTTAGGAAAATAATCACTCTGCACAATCACATCTTTCTACTGTCTTAAAAACACAAACATTTTGGTTATTTCACATTTTATGCAACTTTGATGAATAAGGCTAATTGTGTGGCATTGTGGCATAAGGGCATTGAGTGTTAGGCAACCACTGTTCATGCTCTGACCATAATCCTTTATCATTTATTTATGGATATATGAAAAACTATTATTAATGCTATTAATGTTCCAGACTAGAAGTAGTCATAATATAAATGTTTTGTAGTGTTGCGGCCTGTAAACTGTTTGTCTAGGGGTTTACTGAGGTCACAACATGAGAAAAAAAGAAAAAGAGACAAAGAGCTATGAAGAGAGCTATTTTGTCTCTTACCTTAGCACAGGAAAGATGTCAGGGAGAGCTAACACAATAAACAAAACTTAAATCTAACTAATTCAGGTCAGGTAAGCCAAATAACAAAAGAACAAAAAGCCAACTCTTCCCTGTCTCCATAACTGAATCAAAAACAGGATAAAAAGTACATTCAAAAGAAATGGCACCCACCTCTACACCCAGGCTGTTAATCATTGTAAATAAGTTTGATAGGTGTAGATGGTCTCTACGCTCAGTTGTGTTATAAGGTTCAGTAGGCTCTGCTCTAAAAGCACAGGTATGATGACCAGGGTGATTTTCTCTAAAACAAACAAAGCTGCATGGAGAGTCACCTCAGACCCAATATGGAGGGAAACCTCTGACCACAGACTTCAGCTTAGACAATCCAATCAATTTCCACATTTTGCTCATCACTGATGTAAGAGACAGAGAGGGAAAAAGAAAGTAAGTGAAAGCGAGAAAGAGATAGAGAAAACACAAACAAAAAATATACGTCATTGGGATGTAACCGCAGTAACAATCTCTTTAACACAAAATCAAAATGATCAGACAGACGTCCAGTCAGAATTTCTTAGCTCCCATGAACTGTTAAATTCTGCAGTTGTTAAATATGTGAAAACACTTCAATACATATATAATATATTTTATATATTACATTTTAGGCCTCCCAGCAGTGCCTAAATGAATATGTGCTGACCCAGCCTTAAGCATTTTGAACACAGTTTGTTTCTTGATGGAAGACATGAAGTTCATCATGGGAGCTATTCAGTTAAGCACAAATTATACTAAGCTATAATGACATTATAATTACATGAAAATATTACATATGACAAGTAGTTTTATCAGTGAGCTGCATTGTGAGCTGTTATTCTGGTTACTTGTGTTGATGTTTGTGTACTATGTTTGACCCCATCAGGCAGAGCTCCACAGAAACTGCACTGCAGATAAACACTCTGTTGGAGGAAACTGGAGACTTGAATCAGGATTCTTACCAACCAGTGGATGATTTTCTACACAGAGTCTTACAGAGACACAAAATGAGCATGAAGAACAAGTACGAGAGCTTATTTGAGGGAATCAGAACAGAAGAGAATAAAACCCTCCTGAACAGGATTTACACTCAGCTCTACATCATAGAGGGGGAGAGTGAAGGAGTGAATGAAGAACATGAGGTTCTACAGATGGAGAAAAAATCCAGGAGACACTTACAAGACTCTCCGATCAACTGCTTAGACATCTTTAAACCTCTACAAGGTTCCAAACAATACATGGAAGAAGCAAACATTAGAACTGTGATGGCTGAAAGTATCAGACAGAAAGCAGGTCAAGAATCAAAAGCTGTTTTCAAATTTAAAGATCTCAGTGTCAAAAAAAGAAAAAAAGAAAGAAAAAAAAGCAAAGAACCAAAAGTGAATAAGCTCCGAACTTTGCTGACTAAAGGCTTTAGAAAAACTCACTTTGTACAGAAAGAAAGAAAAGAAGATAACAGACCAGAAGAGCTCAGAAGTGTTCTGACTAAAGGCATCGCTGGAATTGGAAAAACTGTCTCTGTGCAGAAGTTCATTCTGGACTGGGCTGAAGGAAAAGCCAATCAGGATGTAGATTTCATGTTTGTGCTTCCGTTCCGGGAGGTGAACCTGATTAAAGATGATCAATACAGTCTTCATGGACTTCTGTGTGACTTCCATCCTGAGCTCAAAGATCTGGACCCAAAGATTTATGATCAGATCAAAGCTGTGTTTATATTTGACGGTCTGGATGAAAGCAGAATTCAGCTGAACTTTGAACAGTGTGAGAAAGTATCTGACATCACCATGACATCATCAGTGGGTGTGTTGATGACAAACCTCATCAAAGGAGATCTGCTTCCCTCTGCCATGATCTGGATCACCTCCCGACCAGCAGCAGCCAATCAGATCCCTCCTAAATACATCAATCGTGTGACAGAAGTTCAGGGATTCAGTGACCTACAGAAGGAGGAGTACTTCAGGAAGAGGATCAGTGATGAAGACCAAGCCCAGAGAATCATCTCACACATTAAGACAGCAAGGAGCCTCCACATCATGTGCCACATTCCAGTCTTCTGCTGGATCTCAGCCACTGTTCTTCAACAAATCATGAAACAGTGTCATACAGAAATCCCTAAAACTCTGACTGAAATGTACTCACACTTCCTGATCACTCAGACCAACATAAAGAACGAGAAGTATGAGGAGAAAGACGAGAGAGACCCAAAGAACCTGCTGGAGTCCAATAGAGCCATTCTTCTGAAACTGGCTAAACTGGCTTTCAGTCAGCTGATGAAGGGCAATGTGATGTTCTATGAAGAAGAACTGAGAGAGAGCAGCATTGATGTCACTGAGGCCTCAGTGTATTCTGGGATTTTCACTGAGATCTTTAGGGAGGAATGTGTGCTTTACCAGAGGAAGGTCTACTGCTTTGTTCATCTGAGCTTTCAGGAATTCCTGGCTGCTGTGTATGTCTTTCATTGCTATGAGAACAAGAACATGGAAGCACTGCAGATTTTTCTGCAAGAAGATCATCATGATAATGAGAGTAGTGACAGTGAGAGAAGATACAGTGAGGGTGCCGACAATGAGAGAAGATACAGTGAGGGTAGTGACAGTGAGAGAAGATCCAGTGAGGCTAGTGACAGTGAGAGAAAATACAGTGAGGGTAGTGACAATGAGAGAAAATACTGTGAGGGTAGTGACAGTGAGAGAAGATACAATGAGGTTGGTGACAATGAGAGAAGATACAGTGAGGATAGCGACAATGAGAGAAGATGCTGTGAGGGTAGTGACAGTGAGAGAAGATACAATGAGGGTGGCAACAATGAGAGAAGATACAATGAGGATAGTGACAGTGAGAGAAGGTACAATGAGGGTAGTGACAGTAAGAGGAGATACAGTGAGGGTAGTGACAATGAGAGAAGATACAGTGAGGGCAGTGACGAGAGAAAATACAGTGAGGGTAGTGGCAGTGACAGAGAGAGTGACAGTGAGAGCTTTGAGTACAGAAGCAGCCCTGAGACAGATAAGCACAATGGTCAATCTAATTATATTTCACTGGATGAGCTGCTGATGGGAGCAGTGTATAAATCTGTAATGAGTCAGAATGGACACCTGGATCTTTTCCTCCGTTTCCTGCTGGGCATCTCAGTGCAGTCCAATCAGAAACTTCTACAGGGTCTACTGACCCCAACACAGAGCAGCTCAGAGAGAACCAGACAGTACATCAAGAGATTAATCAAAGGAGATAATTACGATGATGATGATGATGATGATGTTTATGATGATGATGATGATGATGATGATGATGATGGTGAAGGTGATTATTATTATGATCGTAGTGATGATGATGATGATGATGATAAAGATGAACAATATCCCTTCTCGACTGAGAGATCCATCAATCTGTTCCTCTGTCTGTCTGAAATGAATGACCAGTCTCTCTCCAGAGAGATTCAGGAGTATCTAAACTCAGAGAGACACTCAGAGGTGAAACTCTCTCCTGCACAGTGTTCAGCTCTAGCCTATATCATTCTGAGCTCAGAGGATGTTCTGGATGAGCTGGACCTGAAGAAATACAACACATCAGAGGAGGGTTATAGGAGACTGATCCCAGCTGTGACTGTCTGCAGAAAAGCTCAGTGAGTATTTTATCTACATGAATAATATTTGAAAATTGATGATTAAACAATTGTCCACATGTCAATGAATATTTTTGGCATTATAAAAAACAGTACCCATCTCTGGTAAGAAACAACTGTAAATTGTATCTTTTATGTTTACTTCTTTTGACTGTGAATGTGTAAGAATTAAATTTGATTTTGTTTTTAAATCTTTGTTTTTCAAAGCATGTCTATTTTGGTTCCCAATCAGGTATTGAACATTAGTCATTAATATGCATTAGCTTATTAGCTTGTCGATTTTGACTGGGTTTTACCTAGAATGCAAAAATACAGCAATGGTATGGAGAGACTGGTGCGCTAATTAACAGCAAATTTTGTGGTGTATGGTGTGGTTTCTGCTGAGTTTGATGAATCTGTCCCAACGTTCATAACTCAAAAATCAAATCAGTAAAGAAAAGCTCTTAACTCCTTTGACACTTGATCTCCCTAACCCATTTTAACTGTTCTATGTGCTGTGTGTATTATTCCATTGCAGTCTAGCTGGCTGTAATCTCACAAAAGATTCATGTGAAACTCTTTGCTCAGCTCTACAATCAACAAACTCTCACCTGAAAGAACTGGACCTCAGTAACAATAATCTGCAGGATTCACGAGTGGAGCTGTTCTCTGCTGGACTAAAGAGTTCACACTGTAAACTGGAGACACTAAGGTGAATTTTCTGTAAAAAAGCTCTGATGGCAGAGTAAACTGTAAACTCTAAATATTAAGGTCTTTTTTAATGATATTCTCATTTATGTGATTTTAGAATTCTCCCATATCACTCAGTTCACCCAAGTAATCTAAACCACACATTTGTGTTGTTTAACATCATGATGTAGCTTTTTTCTTATTCCATTAAGAAAACTTTACATATATTCTAAATTACATTGCAATATATCTTTCTATTCAGAATGGCTGTCTGTAAAATTGGGAGAACAACTTGTGAAAATCTGGGATCAGCTCTACAATCTGCAAAATCCTCGCTGAAAGTACTAGACCTCAGTAACAATGACCTGCAAGTTTCAGGTGTCCAGCTGATCTCTGTTGGACTGAAGAGTTCACACTGTAAACTGGAGAAACTCAGGTGAGAATTCTGTAAATTTGATTTTAAACTATAAATATTGTAGTGACCCACTACTGGTAGCACTGGCCTCTAGATGCTCATGAGGTGTGGCTATGTTAATGACCAGGATCAGGACAGGCATCTTAGGACAAACATTCTTCAGCCTCCTCAGGAAGAAACCTTTTTAACAAGATTGGAGGCATTAATTGTCTGTGAGAGATCTTTAGTGATGTATTCTATATTTATTCAGTACATGGCCAAAAGTACATTACAGAGGCATATACTGCTACCTAGATGCAAAATGCCCAATACACAAACATTATGAAAAGTTTTGAGTTTTTTAATTACTGCAAGATTAGTAATCATTTAAGTGCATTTTGAGGAGATGGGTCTTCAGTTTGCATTTAAAGACAGGGAAGTTCATGGGGTTGCCTCCTTGGGGGAAAAGGGTCTATTCTTCTGGATGTCATAGACAAGAAATGTGTATGACCAAAACAGGTTTGTAACATATTAAAAAAGTGATTGTCTAGGACTACACCAAAACATTGTGCATCTTCTGATGGAATGACCAAGGAGTTCTCAAAGGAGATCAGAGTGAGGACCTTTTTTTCCAGGGATACGCAGCAGCTTCATCTTGCTCGGCTTTAGATTCAGGTGAGGGCTGCCATCTACAATGCCAAACTGCAGTGTGCCAGTTTGATGCTAGAATGGTTGGGATCCTGGAGCTGATACTGAGTGAGAGTGATAACTGATTATAGGCAGAGCATTCAAGGATTTTTTAAAGGAAAAAGAGATACAGGTTAGTACTTGCTGATGCTGCAAATTTCTGTGGACAATTATGACTCTGGCAGTCTTGTATGTGTATGTTAACATCACTTCTAATGAAGAGTTTCAGCTATTTCAGCCACACCCATAGCTAATAGGTACATAAAATCAAGCATACAACAATGCCATGACATACCTGACTGGCCACTTCATTAAGTACACCTCCTACTATCTACCCTTATTGTCCATTTTTTAGATCCACTTGACCTATAGGTTAAATATAGAGCTTTGTAGTTTTACAGTTACAGACTCTAGTCCATCTGTTTCTCTGCATACTTTTTTAGCCCCCTTTCACCTTGTCCTGCACCACCACAGAGCAAGTATTTTTTGGGTGGTGGATCATTCTCAGCACTGCAGTGATGCTGACATGGTGGTGGCATGTTAGTGTGTGTTACGCTGCACAGAAACAGATGAGCTATTGTCAATGACCTTACATCTTCAACATGGATCAACAAGATAGGAGTGTCTTATAGAGTGGACAGTGAGTGGACAGTGAGTGTTTAAAAACTCCAGCAGCACTGCTGTGGAGATATAAAGGTCCTGTCAAATCACATATCCCTGACAAGTGAAGAGTCCAAACTTGTACTTATAAACCAGGGAGCAGCCATATGTCTGGAGAATTGATGTTTTATTCCTTGTGCGGAGGTGCCAAACATTTAGCCAGCCCGTAAAACAGTGGACTGACACAATTTTATGAGCTGGACTTATGTTAAGCTTAGGCCCAGCCTATACATGACAAGTGACAGGTGTGACAGACAAGACTATCTAGGGAAAAATGGCAGAAGAGAATGTTCTACATACAATCACAGCACATGCACACACAATACTGAATATAATAACATATAACACAGCATTAAAACATTACACAGCAGTACATCCCTTCAGAAGTAGAAGTTCAGCCAACAGAAAATTTCATTATACTGTACTAGCAAATTCTAGCATATATGTATAATGACAATAAAATTTAATTGAATGAAAATTTCATGGCCCATATCAGTACTAAGAAGCAAAAAATTCCAATACCTGATAATATCAGCCAATGTAATTTGTTGTAAATGTTGATATTTTGATTTTGATTTTATTTAAATTGCAATATATATATATATATATATATATATATATATATATATATATATATATATATATATATTCCACTAGTTGTATTTACACAGTGCTTTATTGACAAATGATAAACAGTTCTTAATAATCACAGTCATATAAACAATAGAAACACTCAGTGTTAACTATTATAGATATTGTAGCATAGAAGGTGTAACTACTGTTGTTTTCTCTTAATCATTTTTTATTTGTCCTCTTTTTCACTAGTTCTCATGAACAGTTTTTTAAGTCTTTTATGCTCCAATGTCATTGTTGTACTGATGTTTAGGTGTGAATATGTTGTACATGTTTTTTTTTTATTATTCTAACCATCATTGTTCTTTGTGTTCAGATTCAGCAGTCCTAAAATTCTTTATTGAGGGCAATAGCTACTCCTGCAGTATGAGAGAGGGGTTCTAGATGTTTTTGTCATCCAGTCAAAGGCAGACTTTAAACAACGATGTGTCTATGCAACTAGTTGTATGTTGTGAGCTGTCTGATTAAGTTACAGAGTCTACTTTATAACAAGAGTATCATCAGGGCGGATATCTACACTATATTGCCAAAAGTATTCACTCACCCATCCAAATCATTGAATTCAGGTGTTCCAATCACTTCCATGGCCACAAGTATATAAGACCAAGGACCTAGGCATGCAGACTGCTTCTACAAACATTTGTGAAAGAATGGGTCGCTCTCAGGAGCTCAGTGAATTCCAGCATGGTACTGTGATAGGATGCCACCTGTGCAAAGTCCAGTCATGAAATTTTCTTGCTACTAAATATTCCACAGTCAACTATCAGTGGTATTATAACAAAGTGGAAGCGATTGGGAACGACAGCAACTCAAAGTGGTGGGCCACATAAAATGACAGAGCGGGGTCAGCAGATGTTTAGGCACATAGTGCGCAGAGGTCACCAACTTTCTACAGAGTCAATTGCTACAGACCTCCCAACTTCATGTGGCCTTCAGATTAGCTCAAGAACAGTGCATAGAGAGCTTCATGGAATGGGTTTCCATGGCCAAGCAGCTGCATCCAAGCCTTACATCACCAAGCACAGTGCAAAGTGTTGAATGCAGTGGTGTAAAGCACGCACCACTGAACTCTAGAGCAGTGGAGACGTGTTCTCTGGAGTGACGAATCATGCCTCTCCGTCTGGCAATCCGATGGATGAGTCTGGGTTTGGCAGTTGCCAGGAGAACAGTACTTGTCTGACTGCAATTTGCCAAGTGTAAAGTTTGGTGAAGGGGGGATTATGGTGTGGGGTTGTTTTTCAGGAGTTGGGCTCAGCCCCTTAGTTCCAGTGAAGGGAACTCTTAATGCTTTCTGACCTCACGAATGCGCTTCTGGAAGAATGGTCAAAAATTCCCATAAACACACTCCTAAACCTTGTGGAAAGCCTTTCCAGAGGAGTTGAAGCTGTTATAGCTGCAAAGGGTGAGCTGACATCATATTAAACCCTATGGTTTAAGAATGGAAATGAATACTTTTGGTAATATAGTGTATCTATCTATCTATCTATCTATATATATATATATATATATATATATATATATATATATATATATATATATATAGTCCGATATGTCTATATATCTCTTTTTTATCTATTTATCTATCTGTCTATGGATCTTTATTATATCTGTGGTTTCATCTGTTGTTCATATGTTAAGCCTTTGAAAATTAATGTTTATGTAGCCATTATGTTTATAGTCTGCTAGATGCCTCACTCATTCTGTCCTAGAAGCACTTGAGTTCATCAACAGCCCATCTCAGTCTCCTCTTCTAAAACAGTTTTCATCCTTTGTTTCCTAAATGAGCTGAACTTTGTGTAAAATTAGGGGGCATCAAGAGAAGAGAAAATAAATCTGGCTATATAAATCAGGATAACAGCAGGCTAAAGAAGAATAGAGGCTAAAACAACCAGCCATTTAAACAGCTATAGGTGTTAACTGGCTAGTTAACGGGTTTGGGTATAGAGACATTAACTTTGAGAAACTCTTGTTTGTGGTCATGCCTCAGGAAACTGACAAGATGAAAACTGTCAACTTTGAGTTTGGGGGTCTCCTTTTCAACTGCCCAGTAAACAATCTTCAGTTTGTATGCGCTTGTCCATCGATCTGGTCAAATGAAGGAATAGGAGGAAAATAATTTGAATGGAAGAACAAAAGAAAAAAGTGAGCATTTCCCTACAGGTTCCAAAAGATCTAAGCCATCTTAAGAAATAAATTCTTTGTTGTATTTTACCACAAACATAGTCCAAGTTCAAATCAATGACCTATCCTCATACATGGCCAACTATTTAAAAGATGATGTTTGTTTAATGGATTGATTATGGATAGTCACTGGGACCTCCTGGGTCTCCTTTATTTTGAGGGAGTTAAAGATAAAGGAGTTTATGTCAAACCACTGGACTACTTTAAGGCCCAATCCCATTTCTTCTTTTTACCCCTACCCCTTGTTTTCGAGTGTCACCCTAACCCCTTTGAACTGAGTAACAAGGGGTAGTGGTTGAAATCTTGCCCTACGAAATGGGACCCTCAAATAAAAAAAATAAAACATTGCTTTGTTAACAACTACTAGCGCTGTTCAATAGGTGACCCAGACCGTCTTCAGTGATAGCAGAGAAGGGAAAAGTTCAGCAACCTCGCTGCTGGGCTTTAGTTACATTTAGGGCATCATATGCTTTTAAAGAGGGGGTTTAAGACAATTGTTTTTTATCGCCCACCACTAATTCTTTGGTGATACGAAGCTGAAGTGAACTATTCGCCAGCTTCTTGTTTGAATTTTCCCGTTCCACCTTAAATGGTGCAGCAGTTACATTCTGGCGCTTCAGGCGTCAACACTGCTAGACTATTTAAGGTGGAACGGGAAGTTAGCTAGATAGCTACCGAAACATTAGCATGCTATTAGCGATTTTTTATGCTTGTTATGAAGAAAATGACCATAATACATTGAAACAACATTAAACTAAGATAATACGACAGTTATTGTAATTTTTAACAGAGAAAATTCTCACATTTGTGTGTTTCTTTGGTCGCTTGTGCAGCCATCTTGCCGGTTTTTCTTTTTTTCTGATAACACTCCGTTTAGGGCCATGTAGCCCTAACCCTTTGCCCTACCCCTCCATCTCAACAAAAATTGGGACACCCTAACCCTAGACGTGAATGCGCAAAACAGAGGGCTAAGGGCGAAGTGGTAGGGGCAAGGGGTGAAATGGGATTGGGCCTAAGTATACATAATGTATAGCTACAGTATGCACATCCACTGGGGTGAGTGGGGCATATACAACAAGCAAAAGTATTCAACCAAATTCTTGGGGCAAATAGAATAGTATTAACTCACTTTAATTGTGTACTGAGGGTATCACTCGTTCACATAACAGACCTCCCATCCTCTGCTTTTTCCCAGTTAACATTCCTAACTCTCCATAAAATACAAAGTTATCAATGATATATACCAAGTCCTGCATTGCAGCATGGAGCCATGTTTCCATAAAATATGAGTTCAAATGAATACTTTGCATAGGATTGAAATATTTCAGTTTTGTTTTTTTAATCAAGCACAGGTAAGTGAGGATTTTTGCTGGGCATAGTAGTAACAGCAGTTTTTACGTACTTTACTCTTGTACATTAAACACAACTTGATTCAGTCTTAAAATTTTGGGACCATTAATTACCTGGTGGTTGAAAATGGTTCCCCACACAAAGGATAGCCTGACTGAAGGGCTTATTTATTGATTGGCTATGGATAACAAGGGAAATAATGCATTTAATGGCGGATTTAACTAATAGGTATGCATAGAAGGCAGAGAATTGAAGGTAGCTACACTTGAACGGATAAGAACGGATACACGTGAATGGATAAGATTGTTGAGCAACCAGGGTGCAAATGAGCTGAAATTCCCTAATATGCATTTAATCTACAGCCCAAACACACAGTGAGTTAATAGCACTGAACCTTAAGCATACAAAGGAAGTGTCAGCCTTACCCTGATGCAGCAGTGAGCAGCCAAGGGGGGTCAGTTACAATGTGCTGGGAAGATCAGGTCCCTTGGTCCATCTGGAGGCTACAATTTTGTTGATTGGTGAGAGAGCCGGACTATGGTGTGTGTCAGACCAGAGCTCACCTTATTAGTTAAAGGCAACATGGGCTTGGATGGGCTCATGAGGAGTGTCACAGATCAGGGTTAGTTAGGTCAAAGGCATCCTTCACTTGCTTGGCTATGAGGCTGACCTCCTCCAAAAAGCCCAAAAGTTCTGCCAGAAAGACTCAGGCGGTGTGGCAGAGTGAAGGAGGACAATTTTTATATTCTCAATGGAATATTTGAAGTTGAAAGATTACAATTCAGTAGAAATTAAAGAGTCTCTGGTGTAAGCCTCATCCAGATCTTGGAGCATTGAGACCCTCGCTGATCCTGCCAGATAGAGACGGCAGGATGGAGCCTACCCCCGGACAACCAGACAGGGACCCAACTGGTGGTGGTGGGTAGGAAGGAGGGGAACGTCAAAATGTAGGCACCTGCAAGCAGCAACATAGGTGCACAAGTCGAGTCATTTTAAAGACAGGTGTCGGCCCATGAGTGGTCAGGACCAATGAATGAATGATGTAGCATTAGAGTCTTCCTGGCAGAACTTTTGCTAAAGCTTCCATTTCAGTGTGAAGTTGTTCCCTGTGTGTCTGGTTTCAGGATTAATTTAAAAGAAGATTTTAACATGAAGTTACCACTGGCCAAAATGGTGCAACTTCCGAATACTACTAATTCTAGTAGTGAGCAAATTACAACTATCACAAAGACAAATTAAATATGGTTACTTAGATTAAAAAAAAAACTTAATTTCACAGATCTATAAAATAAAACATTCAAACTTTTTCTAGTCTAGGTTTTTCTAGCGGAACTTGCATCTTTAAGCAAGTTTTTTTTTTTTCTTTTTTGAATTAAGATTCGTTAGGTTTTATTCTAAATTAGGTCCCACCCTCTAGGGTGGTGAAAGGGTGTTGATATGCTCCTGTATATCAGGTTTAATGACCATTCTTTATATCTTTGAGGAGCATCTACTTCAGACATTACAGTGCAGTGTTTGAAGTCGCAGCTTTATCACATCATTTTCAGTAGTCACACTAAAGCTTTTATTTTGAAGTTATACAATGTTTCACAGGCCTTTGGATAAAAAGACAGACAGTCTGGTCTCTGTAGAAGAGAACAAGTCAATGAGGTGATCTAAATTGGCTCACATGTGCCTATATTATTGGACTGAAATCAACCTGAAATGAATGGAAGTGAACAGACAGTTTCTCTCAAATGGCCCCTCGTGCTGAGCAGCTTACTTACAGTGGCATGCATTTGGCAAAAGCCAGGAGCCTGCTTTACTCCCTTAAATGTTCTACGTGGTGACTGCCACTTGCTCTGGTCCACCGAAGGCCCTCTAGTGGCATACCATGGTGGTTTTTGCAGCACTGACCTCTGAGATCATTCTCAACCACATGAGGAACAGCTGCTCTTACATACTGTACTAATGCACAAGCATCACACTCACTGAATGTGCACTTTTCACCACAATCTCCAGCCCTGTGTACTGGTCTCCCAGATGTCTAAATGCAGAGGTGACTTTATGTGCCATTCCCGTTGAAACACTGGGGAGCAGTCTTTGTAACTCCTGTCATCTGTGCCCCAGTAATGAATCCTGTTTCAAAATCACTTAAATGTTTTCCTCTTGTTAATCTAGATCCAAAATCAAGCATTTTTGTACATGCCACAGAGCATGGTATGATGGTAACAGCTTAATTGTATCATGCAGTACACCAGTGTGGAAGCATTTGAACTGGTTATATTTTCCACACATTTATGGAGGATTTTGCTTTAAATTGTTACAAGTCTGTAATACATAATTGTTACAACCCAGTCTAGGGTCAGACTGTAACAGAGAATGAGAGTGGGCTCTCTCCCCAGACCACCTGCCAGACCACACACCAGACACCATTTAAATCAGCAAACTGCAGGTTTGTTTGAGCTTTGGTAAAAGTATGCAAGTTTGCAAGCAGCTAAACAAGCATATACCAAAATAACAAACAAAACTGCTAATGATGACAAAAAAAGAACTAAACCTGAAAGCAAAACAAAACAAAATACAAAGGGCTACCATATCTCTCTGCTTTAAAACTTGGAGAAACGGTAACCAAAACAAAATGGTGCCCATCCTCTACTTTTCCAGTGTTCACAGAAAGTTGCACACAGTCTAAAAAACACTTTACTTTACAAACAAAGCAAAGCAAAGACTGTTGTGAATAGTGCTGGGTCTGGACATGTGTTCTTCCAGGTCATGTCAAAGGGAAAAGAGCCCTGAACATCTCTTGAGATGGTGGCTTGGTGACCTTTTATACAGGAGTGCACCCCATGTGGTACTGCTGCAATAGAAAAACTTCCCTCTGGGATTAATAAAGTGATCTATCTATCTATCTGTCTATCTATCTATCTATCTATCAATCTATCTATCTATCTATTTATCTATCTATCTGTCTGTCTATCTATCTATCTATCTATCTATCTTGATTTCACAGAATTTGGTTCTTGCTGTGTTTTGTCTGAACTGCAGCTGATTTAAGCTCTGTGTAAATGTCATCTGTTCTTCTCTTTCTTTCCTTTCTGTAGACTGTCTGGTTGTATGGTTACAGCTGAAGGCTGTTCTTTTTTGGCATCGGCTCTGAAATCAAACCTCTCCCATCTGAGAGAACTGGATCTGAGCTATAATCACCCAGGAGAGTCTGGAGTGAAGCTGCTGTCTGATCTACTGGAGGATCCACACTGGAAACTCAGGTGTGTGTGTGTGTGTGTGTGTGTGGGTGTGTGTGTGTGTGTGTGTGTCACTCCTAAAACCTGGTACCTTACTGGCATGCTTTTACCAATAATGTTTAGGCTTTGTGTCATTCAAATATACCACCTTAAATGGTCATTTTTATAAAAGTAACAATCATGCACTTATGAAAGTCAGGTTTTTTACTGCTTCTCTTGAGTGGTATGCTAAGAGAATACATTCAAATTCAAATGTATTTGCCACTTTTTACATTGGGTGTTGTCATAAAGCAGCTTTACAGATATTCTGGTCCAAGCTACAAGTGAGCAAGACAAAGGTGACAGTGAAAAGGAAAAACTCCCTAAATGCATGAGGAAAAAAACCGTCAGAGGAACCAAGACTCAAAAAGGGAAGCTGACTGTGGCAGACACCAGATAGCAAAACAGTAATACAACAGTGACAGTAAAGGTGCTTTCAGATGTGGCACCTTTGAGGTTGTGCACATACTGCCACTTTGCTCACTCCCGGGTTTGAGTGGTGTTATATCATCAGTACATATGCACACTAGATCAGTTTCAAAATCACTGTCAGTTTAAAAAACAAAAAGGCTCTGATTGTGGTCATTAAGTTGAGAAGACAAAGTCCCAGTGAAAAAGAAAGTGTTCATATATCACGTCATACACAACAATTCCTTTCATTGGCTGTGCTTTGTAAAGATCATTGTCAAACTGGGTCAAAGTTGGACTAGTGCAGCAGCAAGTTGGCAAAATAAAAACCAGTGACTAATGAACTAGATCAAAGATTATCTAAAAGAATGGGAATCATCATTAAATCTGTGATTACAAGGTCATTGGAAGTAATACTTCCAATTAATCCTGTATTCGTAATGCCCACAATGCAAGACAAGGAGACTGAACAAACACAGGGGTATAAATACACTGAGGGGAAATGAGAAACACCTGGCACAAATGAGAGGGTGGAGCTACAGGCAGGTGGAGCAGATAATAAGTTCTGGTATATTTTATGCATCATGACAGAGCCTGGCATACATCCAGGTAAATATTTGTTGAGTTGCCCCAGAGCTATGGGAGAAGATTCTGTATGGACTGAGAGAATAAGAGCTGTTTTTTGGTGGCCTAGGCACTGCTTCAAATTATTTTAAAAAGCATAACTTCATGTAATCTGAATTTGATAGTTTGTTTATCTTTAGCTAACTGGAAACTGTACTGCTAGGCTAGTTGGCTACAGGTGGTAGACTGATACCATTAGCAGCACAGAGAACTGCTTTTATGTTAGTCAGTGGATAGAAACAATAAATTACTCCTGCCTTGTTTATGAATCTAGCTAATGTTGGCAAGGGGTTTAAGCTAGATTTGCTAATTGAAGCCTTAAACAGTTCTTGCATTGGCAGATGGAGCAGATCGATATCTTCACATCTGATACTCCATGTGTAAGACAGACCCATTGATAGCATGCACTGCAGATTGACTTTCCCACACTAGACATTTTGCTTTTAGTGTTGTAAGGATTTTACTTCACATTATGCTGTGAGCATTTCTCTCAAAATGTTGAAAACAGGATGTGAGACATTACAACAAACGATGTATTTCTGAATAAACAAATTACTGAGCTATATATTCTGTATTACCAGTTAGGCGTGATTATCTAATTTCATTTAAAGATCATAAAGAGCACTTATAATGCTCTATAAGGTATTCAGTACTGAAATTAAAATTCAATAACAGTTCCGATGAATCTGGTATTGATTATGCATTATAAATGCATTCAAAAATTGTTATATACAATTAAACAAGTTTATGTCAGGCATTATAATATATGTGCCATATAGCACCATGCATTATGCATACATGATTTTATGTCAGTGCATCCCTAATTTAACTTACTACTACTGTATTTTATACTTTTGTGTTCTTTTATTTTATTTTCTTTCCAAAGAAGAAGTGAAGGTAGACTTCAGTCTAATAATGTTCTCTGATATTGGATACAGACAGTAAATTACTGACCCTGAACACAGTTAGTTACGTAACGCATTCAGTTCTTTAACATACTACTGACTTACTACTACTGTTATTACTGACTTATTACTACTGCTCATTACTGACTACCACTGCTCATTATTGACTTACTAATACTGCTTACTACTGACTTACTACTACTGCTCATTACTGACCTGTTACTGCTTACTACTGACTTACTACTACTGTTTATTACTGACCTAATGCTACTGCTTATCACTGACTTACTACTGCTGTTTATTAGTGATCTAATGCTACTGCTTATTACTGACTCACTACTACTGTTTATTACTGATTACTACTATTGCTCATTACTGACTTACTATTACTGCTTATTACTGACTCACTACTATTGCTCATTACGGACTTACTAGTACTGCTTACTACTGACTTACTACTATTGTTATTACTGACTTACTACTACTGCTTACTACTCACTTACTACTACTGTTTATCACTGACCTAATGCTACTGCTTATTACTGGCATACTGCTACTGTTTATTACTGACTTTCTACTACTGCTTACTACTGAGTTACTACTATGGTTTATTACTGACCTAATGCTACTGCATATAACTGACTTACTACTACTGCTCACTACTGACTTACTGCTGTTGCGTATTACTGACTTACTACTACTGTTTATTACTGACTTACTGCTGCTGCTTAAGACTGAAATGATACTGCTGTTTATTACTGACTTAATGCTGCTGCTTATTACTGATTTACTACTTCTGCTCTTTACAGACTTACTACTACAGCTCATTACAGATTTACTACTGCTTACTACTCACTTACTACTACTGTTTATCACTGACCTAATGCTACTGCTTATTACTGGCATACTGCTGCTGCTTATTACTGACTTACTGTTACTGATTATTACTGACTTACTACTACTGCTTATTACTGATTTAATACTACTGCTTATTGCAGATTTACTACTACTGCTTATTACTCACTACTGCTACTTATTACTAAATTACTGCTACTACTTATTACTGACTTACTCCTGTTGCTTACTATTGACTTACCACTACTGTTTATTACTGACTTTCTACTACTGCTTACTACTGAGTTACTACTATGGTTTATTACTGACCTAATGCTACTGCATATAACTGACTTACTACTACTGCTCACTACTGACTTACTGCTGTTGCGTATTACTGACTTACTACTACTGTTTATTACTGACTTACTGCTGCTGCTTAAGACTGAAATGATACTGCTGTTTATTACTGACTTAATGCTGCTGCTTATTACTGATTTACTACTTCTGCTCTTTACAGACTTACTACTACTGCTCATTACAGATTTACTTACTGGTGTGTGTGTTTGTGTGTGTGTGTGTGTGTGTGTGTGTGTGTATGTGTGTGTGTATATGTGCGCATGCATGCATGCTGGACATTACTGACTTAATACTACTTATTACTTACTTACTAATACTGCTTAATACTACTAAGTTAGCACCTCCTGGTTTTGCCAAGCTGTGACTGTCCAGGGGGCAATGACTTTGATGAAGGCCCAGGGCCAACAAAACACACCAGCCAGTCAAAATCTCTTAACATCTGTGATATCATCAATGTGAGCCTGTCATCTTTCCAAAAGAAATTTGAAAGAAGGATCTAAGCTAACTGACCTGCCAGTTTCCAACCTTAAGGTAGGCACAATTTTATAAGACTTTTACTTGTTTTTTTCAGCAAAATTGATGGTTAGGGATAGATTTGTGTAGGCTTTCTGCTACTTTAATACAACTATCACCATGGCAGCTAGCAAATGTCAGCAAGCTAGCTAGATTAGTGGTTAGCTGTGTTAGCAGCTAGCTTGTCTTACAATGAAGCTTAGCAAATGTTGGCTACCTAGAGCAGCAATTAGCAAGCTCCCCAATGCATAGTAATGATGTATTACTTGTGAATTTGTAAATTATTTGCAGGTTTTTTTTTAGGTGTATATCTATGGTAATGTAGCTAATCTATGTAATGTACTTGTTTTTGTGAGTTTAGCTTAGAAAGTTTAGCTCTTTCTAATTTGTGTTCTCCATCAGATAAATGAGATCTTATTTTGTAATTTGGTCCATTATGTTCATGTTTCCCCTTAAGACACTTTGTTCCATATGTAGACAGTGCTATGCTAACTTCAGATAATTAGGCTACAATAAAGCATCTTTTCATAAACAGTATGTTGTCATTTTCATATATTGAGATTTGTGTCATCCTAAGTCCATCATCATCCTCATCATTGTGTTTTCCTGAGCTCTTCATGGTCATTATGTGTTGTGCTAAGTCCATTATCATCATATGTGGTGTTCTGAGTCCATCATTATCATTTGTGCTATCCTGAGTCCATCATCATGTGTGTTGTCCTGAGTCCATCATTGTCATCATCATGTATTGTCCTGAATCCAACATCATCATAGGTTTGTTGTCCTGAGTCCATCATCATTATCATCATATTTCTTGTATTGAGTCCATCGTCATCATCATCATCATCATCATGTGTGTTTTCCTGAGTCCATCCTCATCATTGTTTTCCTGAGTCCTTCATTGTCATTATGTGTTGTGCTAAGTGCATTATCATCATTTGTGTTATCCTGAGTCCATCATCATGTGTGTTGTCCTGAGTCCATCATCACATGTTTTCCTGAGTCCATCATACTGGTTGTGTGCTGTCCTGAGTCCATCATCATGATCATGTTTGTTGTTGTGAGTCCATCATCATTTTCATCATATTTTTGTCTTGAGTCCATCGCCATCATCATCTTCATCATCATCATGTGTGTTTTCCTGAGTTCATCGTCATCATTGTGTGTGTTGTCCTGAGTCCATCATCGTCATTGTATGTTTTCATGAATGCATTATTGTCATCGTGTGTTGTCCTGAGCCTATCATCATCATTTGTCTTATCCTGAGCCTATCATCATGTGTATTGCTGTATCACTGTAGTCATCATGTGTTGACTCAAACTTCATCATATGTTTTCCTGAGTCTATCATCATCGTTGTGTTTTTCTGAGTCCATTGTAATCACCATGTGTTTTGTCTAGAGTCAATCATCATCACTGTGTTTGTTGTCCTTAATCCATCATCATCATAACCTGTGTTGCCCTGAGTCTATCACTATCATTATGTGTTTTCCAGAGTCTATCATCATCATTATGTGTTATCCTGAGTCTGTCATCAAGTGTTTTGTCCTGAATCCATCATCACTGACATCTTATGTTGTACTAAGTCCATCATCATTGTTTTCCTTCATTGTCATTATGTGTTGTCCTAAGTCCTCTATCATCATGTGTTGTCCTGACTCCATCACTGTCATTATGTGTTGTTCTAATCCATTATCATCATTGTTTTCCTGTTTCCATCATTGTCATGTTAATTATCATAATTTATGTTGCCCTGAGACCATCATCATCGTCCAATTTAGTTTGGAGCTTTTGGCAGAGGATCACTACTAAAATTAAAAATTAGCTGATGTTTATATAATAATGATGATGATGGACTCCGAAGAACACATACGATGATGATGATTGACTCAGCAGAAGATATATGATGATCATGATAGATTCAGGACATCACACGATGAAGATTATGGACTCAGGAAAACACACATGATGATCACAAACTAAGAATAATCCACATGATGATGATGATGATGATGATGATGATGATGATGGACTTCATGATCATGATGATGTTGGTTTCAGGAAAACACATGATGAAGATGATGGACTCAGGACATTAACATAATGGACTTATCATGACAATCAGGGACTCAACACACATGATGATGATTGTTACATTCCCCTCAAATGTAGCTAGGGGCAGAGAGGAAATAACATGGCATGTGATGGGAGACGGAAGAGAAGGACACAAGTACACAGTAGTTGCGATTTCAGTCAATGCTTTTTCTTTACTTTGCTTCCCACTTGCTAAAGTGTATGATACAAGAATAATATTTACAATGAAAGAGGGATGATACAATGAGCTGAGCTGAGAATGAGTATATGGTTAATAGAAAAAGAGTTCATTAATGATTGGTTACCTAAGAACATTGACTAATGGGACCCAACCAACCGCAAAGGTGGACGGAGGACGGTACCGAAGAAATGAAACAAACAAACCAAAATATAATCTGTCTAGCCAAGTCTAATCTTCAACAAAATACAGCGGGTGGCACTCGCCCCTTACCTGTTGTGTCTAAACAATCAGACAACTACTGTGTATGGATAGGCGCACCCAACTTGCCTGTCCACACATCGTGCCTGGGAGAGAAAATCAAGAGAAAGAGAGAGATAGAGAGGGAGCACAGGAGACTATCATTTACTGGCTACATATTCACAGCCAGGGGTAGCACAGCTTGACATTACTGCCGACACCAAGTCTCACGCACACTAAATGCTCCCACACATGACTCCTCTCAGGCGAGTCCTTTTATCTGCCAAGACCCACCCTTCAGCAGACAGCAGCCATCCTGATTGGTGGAGAGAAGAACACAGCCAAGCATCAGCGACATCCACATTGGTCCATTGCACACCTGTACAGTGATCTGGTTGGGTGAAAGGGGAGACAGAGACAAAGAGGGAAAAATAAAAAAATAAAAATAAAACATTCATGCATCATGGGCACGTAACGATGATGACGATGATGATGATAATGATGATGATGAATTCAGGACAAGAAATATGATAATGATGGACTTATCTGATGGAGAACACAAATTAGAAAGAGCTAAACTTTCTAAGCTAAACTCACAAAACAAATACATTACATAGATTAGCTACATTACCATAGATATACACCTAAAAAAAAACCTGCAAATAATTTACAAATTCACAAGTAATACATCATTACTATGCATTGGGGAGCTTGCTAATTGCTGCTCTAGGTAGCCAACATTTGCTAAGCTTCATTGTAAGACAAGCTAGCTGCTAACACAGCTAACCACTAATCTAGCTAGCTAGCTGACATTTGCTAGCTGCCATGGTGATAGTTGTATTAAAGTAGCAGAAAGGCTACACAAGGCTAAACAAGTAAAAGTCTGATAAAATTGTGCCTACCTTAAGGTTGGAAACTGGCAGGTCAGTTAGCTTAGATCCTTCTTTCAAATTTCTTTTGGAAAGATGACAGTCTCACATTGATGATATCACAGATGTTAAGAGATTTTGATTGGCTGGTGTGTTTTGTTGGCCCTGGGCCTTCATCAAAGTTGTTGCCCTCAGGACAGTCATGGCTTGGCAAAACCAGGAGGTGCTACTAAGTTACAAGTGTGTGTGTGTGTGTGTGTGTGTGGGTGGGTGTGTGCTGGACATTACTGAATTACTACCACTGCTTATTACTGACTTACTACTACTGCTTATTAGTACTGAGTTACAAGTGTGCGTGTGTGTGTCTGTGTGTATGTGTGTGTACTAGACACTGATGACTTACTTCCACTGCTTATTACTACTGAGTTAAAAATGTGTGTGTTTGTATGTGTGTATGGGCTGGAAATGACTCATATTACTACTGCTTACTACTACTGAGTTGTGTGTGTGTGTGTGTGGGTGTGTGTGTGTGTTTGTTTTTCAGGGTGGATCATGGAGGGGAGCTTAGGATGAAACCAGGACTGAAGAAATGTAAGATAAACACACACACACACACACACACACACACACACACACACACACACACACTCTGTTTGTGTACCCTCTAATCTGTGTGTGTGTGTGTGTGTGTTCAGATGCTGTTGATCTCACTCTGGATTCAAACACAATGAACAGACTCCTCTCTCTGTCTGAGGGGAACAGAAAGGTAAAGTGGGTGACAGAGGATCAGTTGTATCCAGATCATCCACACAGATTTGATTACTATCAGCAGATTCTGAGTGTGGAGAGTCTGACTGGACGCTGTTACTGGGAGGCTGAGTATACCTGGAAGTGGGGGGGTGATATATCGGTGTCATACCAAGGAATCAGGAGGAAAGGTATCAGTACTGACTGTCTGTTTGGAAATAATAATCAGTCCTGGAGTCTGCAGCACAGTTTTAACAAATACACCTTTAGACACAATAATCAGAAAACTACCTACAATGGATTTAGGGTCCCATCTGACCCCATCACCCCCTATAACAGAATAGGAGTGTATCTGGACTGGGAGTCCGGCACTCTGTCCTTCTACAGGATCTCTCCTGACACACACACACTGACCCACCTACACACATTCACCACCACATTCACTGAGCCGCTCTATGCTGGGATTAGAGTTTATAAAGGCTCAGTGCGTTTCTGTGAGATAGAATGACCTCCTGAATCCTGGAGTAAAAACTAAAACAGCACGAACACACACCATTATGTAGCCAGGCGTAGTTGTTGGCAGCAGAATTGAGGACAGAATGGGGTTCTTAGATTCTACCTGTGGGTATGATGCCCTGTTAGTTTGAAGGTCGATGTAGTGGTCCAAACTAAGGTTGATGTTTTGGGGGCTCAGCTAATACGTGACTGATGATCATACAGCCTATGTTGCTGTCATTTGAATTTATTAATGTTTAATTACATATGCAAATTAAAATTTTAATGTAACATTTAATGTATAAAATTTAACACCATTGGGAGTATCTAATTTCAGTGATTGATTATTAGATGACCAAATGTCCAAAGGTACAACCTTGAAACAGTTATTTTATAACAAAACTAGTAGAAGGTTTGAAGTCAAGCATCTCTCTGAGAGAGCTGTTTCTACTTAGAGACTGATATATTAACTGCGTTTTGCATATTACATATATTTGCTTATAAAACTGTGGTTTTAGCTTTGTCTGTAATGTTTCTGGCAGTCTAATAAAAATGTCCTCTCTTGATTATTCTTAATGAACTTATGGTTGAATCTGCATTTATTGTTTCAGTTTAATTTAAATGTATGAGCTTTGGGAAATGTTTGTGAGTGATATTGAAGTTTTTTCTTTAAGCTTTTTATTGATTTTTTTTTAAAGATTTTTGTTTCATTTAGTTTAAGTTTCAGCTGTGCTGAAGCTGAGTTTGAGTTTGTGCTTAAAACAAGAAGCTACAGGGGCGCAACCGTCTAGGCATTGGCCCTATTGTCAGAAGATCACCAGTTCGATCCCTGGTGATGCTACAGCAATCTGTGGCTGGAAGTCCAAGAGGGCACAACTGGTCTCACTCTCTGGGCGGGTAGTATGGCCCACTGTCACCCCCATCACTCAGCGCGATGCTAGTCAGCGCAGGTGTCTGTTATCTAATGTAACAGAACTCCAAGTGCGTTCGGCTGTCCAATGACGTTGTGTGAGCGGAAGTTTGAAAAGATGCGGTGCCGCTTCATAGGTCTCGGAGGAAGCCTATGCTAGCCTTTGCCCTCCTAGTGCAGGTGGTATTGTGTGATTGGGGGTGTCCTAACTAGTGGGTGGAATTGGATATGACAAAATTGGAGAGAAAAATTCAGGAAAAAAGGAAGCTGCAGTAGCAAAGTAGCTTAAAAAAATCAACATGTTTAGCAGGTGAAAAGCAGACAGTCAATATGATGAGCAAATCACAGCTTTGGATTTAATTATTCAGACTTTTGAGAAAAAGAAAACAAAAGCGATTTTAAAGGCAGAATATGAGACAATATTTGAAGTTTCTTAGTGATTCTCTTCAGGACTATGTCTGGAAGATTTGAAGACCAAGCTGTTTGGGTGGCACTTGTACCACTTCATACCTGGAATGAGGAATGGGTGCTTCAAGGTAGCCGTGATGAGTGTAGTTAGCAAAGAGCATGTGGGCATCAGCACAGACACTGGTGTGAGTACTCAAAATGGCTCAAAATACTAGAGCATTGGAACTCATTTGAACATCGTTTTGGCCCTTCAGTGACTTATGAAATATGATACAATTGACTCTGGTACATCTATTAAACCTAGACGGATACAATAATTCCCTCCCAACTCAACCTTCTGAACCTGTTGCCCCCAAAACCTCCTTGTGTATGTATAGATTTGCATAAACATTTACCAAATACTACTAATATTGGTGCCCGTGAAGAATAACTGTGAATACATTCAACTATTGCCCATAGTACTATTGCCATCCCTTATTTCTGTGCCTTTCTACATGTCAGTGGCACCCCCGAACAAACACCTCCGCCACCTCCCTCATCCAAACCACCACCTCTGCCACCTCCTTCACTTGAACCAACACCTCCGCCACCTCGCTCACCTAAGCCAACACCTCCACTGGTTACTCCATGGTTGGATGAGCCATTTGCGGATGTTCTTGTTGAAAGATAATATTCTAGCCTTGATTTCTGATCAACCTTATATACAAGCATATTTTAACAATAGTTTGTCCATTTTTATGTTTATGATTCATTGTTGTTTGATTTTATCTTTTAACAACCCATCATTTATTCGAATGTAGGCTTCTTTCATTTTCTTTGTTGATTGTTTTCATTTATTTTCATGAAAATGTATAATCAGTAATCAGTGTTTAGTGTTAGATGATGAGATGTTGTGTTCTTCTATATGTGTAAAATACGTGTTCTGTATTTGTAAAATTTGTCTACTTCAAATATGGTGTGACTTATTTAGAAAGTCAGGGAATTGGAAGGGTTTAGTTGGGTACAATTAGAAATGAGTTGCATGTGAAAGATCATTTGATTCTTGCACACTTCAGACACACACATGCTTAGTTCAACCTGAGGTCAGCAGCAGGGAAGTTTTAACTTGCAGTTGGCAGCTGGAGCTTTCTTAACCAAATATTTTATAAACATTTATGTGTGCACCCCCCCACACACACACACATGCACACAAACTGAAGGTATATAAGTCTGTGTCATAGAAATTAGCTTTAGACAGCAGCTGGAGATGGTTTGTATTACACTACTACGAAAATTATAAATTAAATTATTATAAATTACTGTGTTGTTATGATGACAACTTCTATTTACTGTACATTAAAGACAACCTTAAATTTTATTGTCATCTGCCGTGCTCTTCATTACTGAATAAGATCAAGCGCATTTTAGTTTGGAGATCGATAAGTACATTGTTTTCAATGTTATGCAAGTAACAATACATATAATTACATTTTTAACTCATAGTACTAGTAATTTACTAAATAGATATAAATAATATCCTTTCATTGTTACACTGACAGCTAAACTCTACACTGCACAATCCTCAGTGTTAACTTCACTTGCTTAGTGTTAAAATTAACACTATCCCAGTGTTTACATAATTCTCACCAGTTTGCAGTTAAAATTACACTTTGGATAGTGTGAATATTTCAACTCATTAATATTGTTAAATTTCTTACTCTCACAGTGTTGTTTTATGACACATAAAAGAGTACTTTTAACACTGAATTGTGTCATTCCCTTTCACTAGAAGTGTTAATTCCTGACACCCACAGTGTTGTCTTATGACATGTAAAAGAGTACTTTTAATACTAAATTGTGTCATTCCATTTCACTAGGAGTGTTAATTTCTAACATTCATGATGTTTTTTATGACACATAAATTTAAAATTAAAAGTATTTTTAAAGGGTTTACCTACATATTAATGTATGCACTGCACTTCCACCATGAATGTTTCTAGACTCTCCTGCAAGGCTACAGAAAATCAGGATGAACATTTATCATGTGTAAATCTTATTATTCTCTGTATTTACATAGGTTTACATAATATGTTGACCCTCAAGACTTAAGTGAACAAGTATAATATATCACTAAAACAAACCATCATTGAACTTTTTATTCAGGTCTCATCTCCACCTTAAGCACCCTTTGAGTTACTTCAATTACTTGGTAGACTTGAAAATGTTCACATCAATGTTACAGAGTGTTGTCTGCAAGAAAGTGTAAAGCTGGACCAGGGACTCATCATAAGACAGGTTGAACATGTAGTGACTTTTAAACAGTTCATCAAAAGCATCCCAACAAGCTGGTGGCTTGGCAGTTGATGAGCTGTTTGTCTGCAAAAATGTACAAAGTATCAATTCTGTGCTGGGTTTGGCCCACAGCAAGGATTCATGCTTGGTTACCCTCTCTTCCTCACAGATGTTCATTGATGTTGCAGCATGACTGAAAAACAGAACAATTACGTTAACACCTTAAAGCGCTACCTCAGATTCTTATCCATACAGTGGTATTTGCTGCTCCATGCTTCAGTGTAATAGATCCTCCAGTTGGACCACTCAGAGCAAGAACATGCACTTTACTGGCAGTATGTTTGTCCCAAATGAATGTCTCTCTCCATTCGTTTAGAAGGAAAACAATGTTTTTGCAAGCTTACATCTCTGGGGTAAAGAAATGCCTTTGCAGGGTGTTTAATATAACTGAAAAACTGGCACATGGGATTCTAAGAGTTGAGACATATATACCTTGTGAAAGTGCACCAGTTTATCCACTATCACTGGGACTTACTTTAATTATCTTTCGTCCAGCTGTGGGTGGCAAGAGATAGAGAAGGAGCAGCAGAGAAGCCACGTCACTGTCCCAATCTATCAGGAGGAAAAACAAGTCATTAGTATCTACTTCGGATGCACAAATGAAATAACAATAGCTATTTAGAATATAAACCAAGCATATAATCTATCACTGTCGTTCTCTGCAAGTTTCTCAGCAGATTGGTTGACTGAGTCAGGTGTTTGGCCTCTTCAATAACCTTGGGCTTGAATACTGTCTCCCACTTCTCAAGCATCCTGGAGGCTGTTTTGGCACCAAACAGCAGCCAGAAGTCTTTATTTAGCTGTTACAAATACATCAAGCCAATGGTCAGTGCACTGTTAACTGCTTATGTCTAACCAAATTAAAGACTGGAGTTTAACAGGAAATACTCATAGTATAGTCCTATAACATCTGAAAAATATGGGAACGTTTTAAAACATCTGTGGTCCGCTGTGGGTAATGCACTAGGTCCTGGCGATGCAGGTTGTGAAGCAATATGCTATGTGTATATTATTAAAGTGAGTTTAGTTTCGTGGATAATGCTATTTGATTCCATTCTGGCAGCCCCAGTGAGAGGAATTGACTGGAACACAACTGCGTCTTGAATGGTCTCCAAATATTGAAAGCTTAGTTATTTACAAATATAGTTAAGTAGTTAATAAGGGTTAACTTTGATAAAGTTATGACCTGTAATAACGATTTACTCAATGAGTAAACTGCTCCATAATCCTTGTCCTATAGTCTGCTCGAGCTGCCTCAAATCCCTGCCATATTATAGCCTAGCCCTTGATCAGATGTCACCTATCAAATATTAGTCTTTTTTAATCATGTTACATTACCTAGTATATGTTTTCATGTGAGTATATGTGTGTGTTTAATTTTGTAGACCTTAGCAAATACCCTGAAATAGCATTTTGGTCACTCTTTGTGAATTGTTTATTCATGCTGTCACCGTAGGGAAGTAATTAAGGTTTTCTGTGTTACTTTTTTTTTACATTTTAGACAATGACATAAATGAAGAAGCAGTGGATTGTGGTCTCATAGTATCAATGATTTCATACCACTTTCAGGATCATTCAAAAAGCAAGGACGTGTTTCCTTCCTTAACAACAAGGACACTATAATCTGTAATAATAATAAAGATTTTTTTTTTCTTAAATTGTGACATATTTTGTGACAGTAATAACAAATTAAGTCATGCAACATATTTATTAGTGGTTAGAGGTGGGAAATATATCAAAAATGCAATATCAAGATACTTCATGAAACTTTCACAATGCACATGGTCACAATAATTTTGAAACAACAAAGTAGTTCTACATTTTTAAAAAATTCTAACAAAAACTATGAATGCAATTATTTATATTTAAAATTACAAAAATTACACTGCAATAAGTCCAATAAAACAGATCTAATTATGGTCCCTTTGTAATCCAACATACATGTTTAAGACAGTGTTTTTAAAGACTTGTGATATCTACAATATGCTCAGATATTTGTATTGTGACATAATTTATCATGATAATTATTGTCATTATTCTCAGATGTATTGGTGGTCTCCATGTGCAGATCTAAAGTGTGATTTATCTGTAATTCTGTTATTCATTACAGTCACGACAGTCCAACAGCAATTTGTTGTTCCAAAATTCCCTAGAGTTGTTCAGACAACTGGACAAAAAACAGTCATGGAAGATTTTGTCTTCAAATCGCCTCATGATCATAAGAACACTGTATGAAAGTATGGCTAAATACAGTATGTAGGTATTTTAGCATAAACTATATAGGCAAAGATTGTTTTAACATTCAACATTTGTACCTTTGCTTTTTTCTTGTTTTTGTGTAATTCAATTTGGTACCACATTATTTTCTTTTCCTACAGCACACCTGGCACATGTCTCTGAAACAGAAGTTCAAATTTGAGTTGGCTCCACTGGCAGATGATGAAGAGGTGAAAAGAATTAAACAGAAGTTTGGCCCCATCAACCTGAGGCAAGCACTTGAACTGAGGCCCTTAGTGAGAGCTCTATGTTCTTGGTTGCCTTTAATAGAAACTAACAAGTGTACACATGTTGCCAGTGTTTTGTATGTTATCTCTCACATAATATACCAGAGGTGGGGACTTGAATCAGTGTCTTGGATTTGAGTTGCATGTTGACTGACTCGGGACTTGGACTTGTCCTTAAATGAATTGCATGATTGACAAAAGAATGAAGTGCTACATGCAGTAATAGAATTGTTTGAAGAAAACTTGAAGTTGTCATTGGATCTAGCTGAAGTTTTAGTAAGTTACAGATCACATTCCTGGAAAAATTTGTAAAATTGTATTTGGATTAGTTGTTGTGTTAGCCAGCTAGCTTATGAGCTATATAAACTACTGACTAACCAACTGTTTTGTTGTTTGTTCTATTTTCTTTAAAACACTTAAACACTGCATTTACTGCATGCAGGGATTCAGACTGAAGGATTTTCTATGGCTGGTTGTCTGGTAAAGACTCAAGGCTCATCTCAGACTTGCACACCAGTGACTTGAGACTCAACTCAGGCTCAGACAAAAATTTGTGATTTTGTAATTAGATTAGATTAGATTAGATTTAACTTTATTGTCATTGTGGAGAGTACAAGTACAGAGCCAATGAAATGCAGTTAGCATCTAACCAAGTGCAAAATAAAGTATTATTTACATATAAAGTGCAGAACGACGGTATAGTGGTTAAAAACGT